AGTCTATGTGCCTAAAATATCTTCTCCTATAAAATGAGTATGATGAAGTCCTTTATAGAGTTGTAAATGTTATATGTAAAAATATAGCAGTGAAGAGGCTGTGGGCTGGCCAAGGTGGCCAAATTGAAGCAGCTGGTATGTGTGGCTCTCACAGAGAGGAACACAAGGGGAGAGTAAATACTGCACCTTCAACTGAAACATCCAGATACTCACATTGGAAATAACCAAGGAAACAACTTGACCCAGGGAGAACAAAGAAATGCAGGGCAAAATTACAGCCCACCTGGGAACAACACAGACCCAGGGGAACCTCCCTCATCCAGGGAAGCAGTGAGTGAATGTGTGACCCTGGAAACCCATCCTTCATCCATGGATCTTTGCAATCCTTGGGTCAGGAGATCTCCTCATTAACCCACTCTACCAGTGCCTTCAGTCTGACAGAGATACATGGAGTCTTGGCATAGCAGCCACTCAGGCACACGTGGAGACCTGGGAGCCTTAGTTACTTGGGCTTTCCAGCAAAAGTAACTGCAGCTCTGGCAAAGTGGGAAGTTAGACCCTCATACATACCCCTAGGGAAGAGGCTGAGTCCAGGGAGCTGAGCCATGGCAGCCTGCAGACCTCACTTCCACAGCACCTCCGAGGATATGAGCCACTGGCTTGGAATTCCAGCCAGCCACCAACCACAGTGGTAAGCCTCCCTGAGACAGAGCTCCTGAGAGGAAGGACAGGCCACCATCTTTGCTGTTTGGGCAACTTAGCTACTTCAGCCCTTGGGGTTTGGAGAGCCTCAGCAGACCAGGGGCAGAGGGATCCACCAGCACAGCACAGTGCTACTCTACCAAAATGTGGTCAGCCTGCTTCTTTAAGAAGGTCCCGAATCCCATTCCTCCTTACTGGGCAGGACCACCCAACCAGGGCCTCTACCACCTACTCTGGTGTTCTTGGGCTGACAAGAGATTTGAATTCCCCCTGAGATTGAGTGCCCAGAGGGAGGAGTGGGCCACCATCTTTGATGTTTTGACAACTTTTTTTTTCAGCCTTTAGGCTTTAAAGAGTCCCAGCTGACTTGGGGTGGAAGCAGTCCCCCAGAACAGCACAGCTGCTGTACAAAAGCATGGCCAGACTGTTTCTTTAAACAGGTCCCTGACTCGTTCCCCCTGTTTTGGGCTTCCCAACTGGGGCCTCCAGCCACCCTTGCTGGTGTTCTCCTACTGACAGAGATTTCAATTTTTTCTGGGATGGAACTCCCTGACGGAGGGGAAGGCCACCATCTTTGCTGCCTTTGCAACTTAGCCACTTTAACCTTCAGGTTTTGGAGTGTCCAAGGAGAACGGGCTGATGTGAACCCCCAGCACAGCATAGCTGCTCTGCAAAAATATGGCCGGACTGCTTTTTAAAGCACTTTCCCAATGTCATTCCTCATTGGATGGAACCTCCCAACTGGGGTCTCTGGCCACCTCCTACAGGTGTGTTTGGGCCAGCAACATGTTCATACCTGCCTAGGACAAAGCTCTCAGAGAAAGGGGTAGGCTGCCATTGTTGCTGTTTCACAGGCTTCACTGATGATAACTCCAGGTACTGGAAAATCTGAGGCTACTAGAGACTGGAGTGGGCCCTAGGCATACTATAGCAGCCCTACAGAAAACTGGCCAGAATGTTACCTGGGTTTCCATTTCTATATCTTCTCACTAGGCAAGTTTTGCAGGCCTGGGCCTCTACCCAAACCCCCCCCCACCAGAGCTGTCAAGCCAGTAGCAACTCAGCCACTCCTTGGACAGAGCCTTTGGGGCAACTGAAAGCCTCTCTGCCACTGTTTCTGCAGTGGAACTGTCTTTGCTATCCTCAGACTAATGAAGGAGCTAAGACTCTTACCTCCACCTTCAACAAGCTTTGATTGACCCAAGGAGAGGAAACTATACTATCTCCTATAGGTTCTATGCACTCCCCACTGATGCAACAGGGAACCCCTGGATTGGCCCCACATCACAAATTCTCCATCCTGGGATAATTGCACTGAACAGTTGCTGACCTGTATCTCTCCAGGGGTGGAACCCCAAGAAGACAAGCAAAAGACCCTTGGCTACAACCACTAATAATGTCCCTTCCTCTTCTGCCGCAAAGTTGAAGAAGAAATATAAACTCTAAGATTGCCCCAAAGCTGCAGTTGGCATCCTAGGAGTGCCAAGCCATTATCTACAGCCAGCACTCAAGGGGGAGAAAAGCACAATTTCAGATCATTGAGAAAGAACATGGCTGCAACTGTGAAGAAACACAGGGGAGCCACATAGCTGAGCAAGAGTCTACCAACTGACCAGTAAGCCCAAGTGCCACCTACTGGATCACATCCAAAAGATTCAGCACCAAAAATTCCTTGCTAATATACTACCCTCTGAAACTAGAGATGAGACATCAACTTCAAGTAAAGATCCTGCACAAAGCCTCGGCCTGGTGAAAATATCCAAAAACAAGTCTATTGACTTTACTCAATCTACAGTGCAATTAAAGGAAAACCCATACATGGAGATGAGAAGAAACCAGTGCAAGAACTTCAGTAACTCAAATGGCCTCAATGTCATATGTCCTCCAAACAACCACATCAGTTTTCCAACAAGAGTTCTTAAGCTGGCTGAACTGTCTGTAATGACATAAATATAATTCAGAATATGGATAGGAACAAAAATCATCAAGACTCAGGAGAATGGCAAAACCCAATCCAAGGAAAATAAGAATAACAAGTGATACAGGAGCTGAAGGACAAAATAGCTGGTATAATAAAAAAGAACCTAGCAGATCTGAATGAGTCGAATAACACAATACAAAAATTTCACAATCCAATCACAAGTATTAACAGCAGAATAAACCAAGCTGAGGAATGAATCTCAGAACTTGAAGATTGGTTCTCTAATATAAAATGGGCAAAAAATAAAGAAAAGAACAAGAAGGAATGAACAAAAACTCCAAGCAGTATGGGATTATATAAAGAGCCCAATTCTACAAATCACTGGCATCCCTGAATGGGGGGTGGAGTAATCAGACAACTTGTAAAACATATTTCAGGATATCATCTGTGAAAGCTTCCCTAAACTTGCTAGAGAAGCCAACAGTCAAATTCAGGAAAAATAACTCCTGCAAGATTCTACACAAGAAGACCATCCCCAAGACACCTAATCATCAGAACTGCCAAGGTCAAAATGAGAGAAAGAATGTTAAAGGCAGCTAGAGAGAAAGGACAGGTTATCTACAAAGGGAACCACATTAGGCTAACAGCAGACCTCTCAGCTGAAATCCTACAAGCCAGAAGACATTGGGTGACTATATTCAACATTATTAAAGAAAATATTCAACCAAGAACTTTGTATCCAGCTATACTAAGCTTCCTAAATAAAGGAGAAATAAGATTATTTACAGGCAAGCAAATTCTGAGGTAATTCATTACTACCACATCTGCCTTACAAGAGATTTTAGGAAGGAGCACTAAAAATATAGAAAGGAAGGACCACTACAAGCTAATACAAAAACATACTTAAACACACAGATCAAGGACACTATAAAGCAACCACACAAACAAGCCAACATAATAACCAGCCAACAGCACAATGATAGAATCAAATCTACACAAATAAATAGTAACTTTGAATGTAAATGGGCTAAATGCCCTCACTTAAAAGGCACAGAGTGGCAAGCTAGATTGAAAAAAAAAAAAAAGCAAGACTCAATTGTAGGCAATCTTAAAGAGACCCATCTCACATATAATGACACTCATAGTCTCATAATAAAGGGATGGAGAAAAATCTACCAAGCAAATAGACTGGCAAATTGGATGAAGAGTCAAGACACATCAGTGCTATATTTAGGAGACCCATCTCATGTGCGAAGACACACATAGGCTCAAAATAAAGGGATGGAGAAATATTATCCAACAAATGGAGAGCAAAAAAATCAGGGATTGCAATCCTAGCCTCTGATAAAACAGACTTTAAACCAACAAAGATAAAAAGCCACAAAGAAGGGCATTAAATAATGGTAAAGGGATCAATGCAACAAGAAGAGCTAACTATCCTAAATATATATGCACCCTATATAGGAGCACCCAGATACATAAAGCAAGTTCTTAATGACCTACAAAAAGACTTAAGACTCCCACATAATAATAGTGGGAGACTTTAACTCTCCACTGTCAATATTAGATCAATGAGACAGAAAATTAACAAGGATATCCAGGACTTGAACTCAGATCCAGACCAAACGGACCTAATAGACATCTACAGAACTCTCCGCCCCAAATCCACAGAATATACATTCTTCTCAGCACCACATCACACATAGTCAAACTGACCACATAATTGAAAGTAAATCACTCCTCAGCAAATGCAAAAGAACAGAAATCGTAACATCCAGTCTCTCAGACCACAGTGCAATCAAATGAGAACTCAGGATTAAGAAACTCACTCAGAGCCACACAACTACATGGAAACTGAACAACTAGCTCCTGAAAGACTCCTGGATAAATAATGAAGGCAGAAATAAAGATGTTCTTCAAAACAAATTAGAACGAAGACACAATGGACCAGAATCTCTGGGCCACATTTAGAGCAGTGTCTAGAGGGAAATTTATAGCACTAAATGCCCACATGGGAAGTGAGGAAAAATGTAAAATTGACACCCTAATGTCACACAAGAACTAGAGGAGCAAGATCACACAAATTCAAAAGCTAGCAGAAGACACGAAACAACTAAGGTCAGAGAAGAACTGAAGGATATAGAAACACAAAAAAAACCTTCAAAAAATCAATAAATCCAGGAGGTGGTTTTTTTTAAAAGATCAACAAAATAGCCCACTAGCCAGACTAATAAAGAAGAAAACAGAGAAGAGTCAAACAGATGCAATAAAAAATGATAAAGGGGATATCACCACTGATTCCACAGAAATACAAACTACCATCAGCGATTACTACAAACAACTCTATACATATAAACCAGTCAATCTGGAAGAAATTATAAATTCCTGGACACTTACACCCTTCCAAGACTAAACTAGGAAGAAGTTGAATCCCTGAATAAACCAATAACAAGGTCGGAAATTGAGGCAGCAATTAATAGCCTATCAACCAAAAAAAGTCTAGGACCAGATGGGTTCACAGCAGAATTCTACCAGAGGTACCAAGAGGAGCTGGTACCATTCCTTCTGAAACTATTCCAAACAATACAAAAAGAGGGACTCTTACCTAACTCATTTTATGAGACCAACATCATCCTGATACCAAAACCTGGCAGAGACCCAACTAAAAAAGAAAATTTCAGGCCAGTATCCATGATGAACATAGATGCAAAAATCCTCAAAAAATACTGGCAAACCGAATCCAACAGCACATCAAAAAGCTTATTCACCACAATCAAGTTGGCTTCATCCCTGGGATGCAAGGCTGGCTCAACATATGCAAGTCTATAAATGTAATCCATCACATAAACAGAACCAAAGACAAAAACTACATGATTATCTCAATAGATGCAGAGAAGGCCTTCGACAAAATTCAACAGCTCTTTATGCTAAAAACTCTCAATAAACTAGATATTGATGAAACATATCTCAAAATAATAACAGCTATTTATGACAAACACACAGCCAATATCATACTGAATGGGCAAAAACTGGAAGCATTCCCTTTGAAAACTGGTGCAAGACAAGGATGCCCTCTCTCACCACTCCTATTCAACATAGTATTGGAAGTTCTGGCCAGGGAAGTCAGGCAAGAAAAAGAAGTAAAGCGAATTTAATTAGGAAAAGAGGAAGTCAAATTGTCTCTCGTTGCAGATGACATGATTGTATATTTAGAAGACCCCACTGTCTCAGTCCAAAATCCCCGTAAGCTGATAAGCAACTTCAGCAAAGTCTCAGGATACAAAATCAATTGCAAAAATAACCAGCATTCCTGTACACCAATAACAAACAGCCAAATCATGAGTGAACTCCCATTCACAGTTGTTACAAAGAGAATAAAATACCTAGGAATAAACTAACAAGGGATGTGAAGGACCTCTTCAAGAAGAACTACAAACCACTGCTCAGGGACATAAGAGAGGACACAAACAGATGGAAAAACATTCCATGCTCATGGTTAGCAAAAATCAATATTGTGAAAATGGCATACTGCCCAAAATAATTTATAGATTCAATGCTATCCTCATCAAGCTACCATTGACTTTCTTCACAGAATTGGAAAAAAAACACCTTATACTTCACATGGAACCAGAAAAGAGCTTGCATAGACAAGACAATCCTAAGCACACACACACACACACACACACACACACACACACACACACACACACACACACACAAAACTAGAGGCATCACGCTACCTGAATTCTATGCTACAAGCCTACAGTAATCAAAACAGCATGGTACTGGCACCAAAACAGAGAGATAGACCAATGAAGCAGAACAAAGCCCTCAGAAGTAACACCACACATCTACAACCATCCAATCTTTGACAAACCTGTCAAAAACAAGCAATGGGGAAAGGATCTCCTATTTAATAAATGGTGTTAGGAAAACTGGCTAGCCATAGGCAGAAGCAGAAACTGGATCCCTTCCTTACACCTTATACAAAAATTAACTCCAGATGGATTAAAGATTTAAACATAAGACCTAACACCATAAAAACTCTAGAATAAAACCTAGGCAATATCATTCAGGACATAGGCATAGGCAAGGACTTCATGACTAAAACACCAAAAGCAATGGCAACAAAAGCCAAAATAGATCAATGGGATCTAAATTAAACTTAAGAGCTTCTGCACAGCAAAAGAAACTATCATTAGAGTGAACTGGCAACCAACAGAATGGGAAAAAAATTTTGTAATCTACCCATCTGACAAAAGGCTAATAACCAAAATCTACAAAGAACTTAAACAAATTTACAAGAAAAAAAATAACCCCATGAAAAAGTGGGCAAAGGGTATTAACAGACGCTTTTCAAAAGGAGACATTTATGCAGCCAACAAACATACGAAAAAAAGCTTATCATGACTGTCATTAGAGAAATGCAAATAAAAACTACATTGAGATATCATCTCATGCCAGTTAGAATGGTGGTCATTAAAAAATCAGGAGACAACAGATGCAGGAGAGGATGTGGAGAAATAGGAACACATTTACATTGTTGGTGGGAGTGTAAATTATTTCAACCATTGTGGAAGACAGTGTGCTGATTCCTCAAAGATCTAGAACTAGAAATACCATTTGACCCAGCAATCTCATTACTGGGTATATACCTAAAGTATTATAAAACATTCTATTATAAAGACACATGCAAATGTATGTTTATTGTAGCACTGTTTGCAATAGGAAAGTCTTGAAACCAACCCAAATGCCCATCAATGATAGACTGGATAAAGAAAATGTGGCACACATACACCATGGAATACTATGCAGCCATAAAAAAGGATGAGTTCATGTCTTTTTGCAGGGACATGGATGAAGCTGGAAACCATCATTCTGAGAAAACTGACACAAGAACAGAAAGCCAAACACCCCATGTTCTCACTTAGAAGTGAGTGTTGAAGAATGAGAACACAGGTGCACAGAGAGGGGAACATCATATACCGGGGTCTGTCGGTATGATGGAAGGGCTAGCGGAGGGATAGCAGGCATAGGGGGATTGGGTGGGATAACATTAGGATAAATACTTAATGTAGATGATGGAGGAGGGGTGGCTGCAGCAAACCACCACAGCACGTGTATACCTATGTAACCTGCACAATCGGCACATGTACCCCATAACATACATTTATATATATATATATATATATATATATATATATATATATATATATGAGAGACAGGAAAAAGCAGAGGTTGTAATCCTAATTTAAGACACAACAGATTTCAAATGAACAATGATTTTTCCAAAAGACAAGGGGGTGGGTCCAAGATGGCCAACTAGAAGCAGTTGTAGTTGGAGGCTCCCATTGAGAAAAACCAAAACACTGTGCGAATTTTGCACCAGCAACTGACATATCCAGGTTCTGTCATCAGGACTGACTAGGTGGTTGGCATGACCCATAGCAAGGAAACGTGGGCTGGTACATTGGCCCACCCAAGAGCCACACAAGGCAAGGGGAGCCCTCAACCCCAAACAGCCAAGGGAGGCGGTGAGTGAGCATGCTACCCAGCCTGGGAAATTCTGCTTTTTCCATGGATTTGTGCAACCTACGGCCCAGAAGATGCCATTCATGAGACCACACCACCAGGGCCTTGCAGATTCTCAACAGCCACTCAGCTGAAGTCTGCCTAAAACTACCAAGTTCCTGGGATGGGGAGTGATCATCATCACTGTGGCTACCTGCTGCCTAAACTGTCCTGAGTTCCCTGCGTGAGGGGCAGCAGTCATCGCTGTGGCTGCCTGCTGCCTTAAGACAACTGAGCTCCCCAAGGGAGGGGCAGTTATCATCACTGCAGCTGCCTGCTGCCTGAGGAAACTGAGCTCCCCCAGAGAGAGACAGCAGCCATCACTGCAGCTGCTAGTTGCCTAAGACACTGAACTCCTGGGGAGAAAGGGCAGCAGTCATCTCTACAGCTCCAGGCCACTGTTTTTTCTTTGTTGATGCCAGAAAAACTGGACGGCTTAGTACCAAGTGGTATTTCCCACAGCGCAGCATGCTGGCTGTGGCAGATCGTGTCCAGACTGCCTCTTTAGGCCGACAGTGACCCATCCTCACTGGGTGGGGCCTCCCTGCAGGAACTTCAGCAACTCCAGCCAGGGGCTTAGGGAAAGAACTCTAATCTCTGACTGAGCCTCTAGCGGGAGGGGTTGCTGTTGTCTCCACAAACCAGAAGACTTAGTCTTTCTCCCTGCTAGCCCAGAGAAATCCAAGTAGCCCAGACAAGTGGATTTTCCCCCAGCACAGTGTACCCCTCATCACAAAGGTATAACCAAAGTGCTTCATTAATTAAACAGGTCCAGGATCCTGTGTCCCCCAACTCAGTGAGACTCTCCAATGGGTCACCAGATGCCTTATACAGGAGCATTTCTACTGGCATCATGTGGGTGTCCCTCAAGGACAGACATCTCAGAGGAAGGAGCAGGCACCCACCCACCTATGTTATTCTCTAGCCTTCTCTGGTTGTGTCTCCAGGTGTGGGAGGGACCCAGATAAATAGGGCCTGAAGTAAAACGTCAGCAAACTGCAGCAGCCCTACAGAAGAGGTACCTGACTGTTGAAAGAAAAACAGAAAGAATGACAACAAAAAAGTCCCCACAAAAACCTTATCTAAAGGTCAGCAGCCTCAAAGATTAAAACTAGACAAACTCATGAAGATAAAGAATATGAGAACCCTCAAAAGGCCAGAGTGCCTCATATCCTTCAAATGATCACAACACCTCTTCAGCAAGGGCAAAGTACTGGGCAGAGGCTGAGATGGATGAATTGACAGAAGTAGGCTTCAGAAGGTGGGTAACAACAAACTTTGCTGAGCTAAAGGAACATGTTCTAACCCAATATATTGGAACAAATCCCAGAACTTAAAGATTGGTTCTCTAAAATAAGACAGGCAAAAATAAAAGAGACAAAAATAAAAGGGAATGAACCAAACCTCCAGTAAGTATGGGATTATATAAAGAAGCCGATTCTACAAATCACTGGCATTCCTGAAAGGGAGGTGGAGAAATCAACACATTAAGTTGGAACATGCTCCTTTAGCTTAGTGAAGTTTGTTATTACCTTCTGAAACTTACTTTTGTCAGCAAAGAAGCTAAGAACCATAATAAAAAGTTACAGGAGATGCTAACTAGAATAACCAGTTTAGAGAGGAGCATAAATGACATGATGCAGCTGAAAAAAAAATCATGAGAACTTTGTGATGCAAACACAAGTATCAACAGCTGAATCAATCAAGAAAGTATATCAGAGCTTGAAGACTATCTTGCCAAAATAAGGCAGGCAGACCAAGGTTAGAAGAAAAAGAAAAGGAATGAACAAAACCTCCAAGACCAAACCTATGACTGATTGGAGTAGCTGAAAGAGACAAGGAGAATGGAACCAAGTTGGAAAACACTCTTCAGGATATTATCCAGGAGAACTTCCCCAACCTAGCAAGACAGGCCAACATTCAAATTCAAGAAATCCAAAGAACCCCAGTAAGATACTCCATGAGAATATCAACCCCCAAGACCCATAATCATCAGATTCTCCAAGATCAAAAGAAAGGAAAAAATGTTAAGTGAAGCCAGAAAGAAAAGGCAGGTCACCTACAAAGGGAAGCCCACCAGACTAACAGTGGGCTTCTCAGCAGAAACCCTACAAGCCAGAATACAGTGAGGGCCAATAGTCAACATTCTTAATGAATTTTTAACCCGGAATTTCATATCTGGCCAAACCTTCATAAGCGAAGGAAAAATCCTTTTCAGACAAGCAAATGCTGAGGGAATTCATCACCACCAGGCCTGCCTTGCAGGACCTCCTGAAGGAAGCACCAAATATGGAAAGGAAAAACTGGTACTAGCTACTGCAAAAACATACTGAAGTACAAAGACTAATGACACTATGAAGAAACTGCATCAACTACTGAGCAAAATAACCAGCTAGCACCATGGTGACAGGATCAAATTCACACATAACAATATTAATCTTAAGTGTAAATACACTAAATGCTCCAATTAAAAGATACAACCAGCAAATTGGATAGAGAGTCGAGACCCATCGGTATGCTGTATTCAAGGTTCCCATCTCATGTGCAAAGACACACATAGGCTAAAAGCGATATTGGAAAATTTACCAAGCGATTGGAAAGCAGAAAAAAGCAGAAGTTGCAATCCTAGTTTCAGAGTATACAGACTTTAGATCAATAAAGATCAAAAAGACAAAGAAAAGCATTACATAATGATAAATGAATCAATCCAACAAGAAGAGCTAACTAACCTAAATATGTATGCACTCAATAGAAGAGAACCCAGATTCATGAAACAAATTCTTAGAGACCTACAAAGACACGTAGGCTCCCATACAAAAATAGTGTGAGACTTTAACACCCCATTTTCAATATTGGATCATCTAGACAGAAAATTAACAAGAATAGGACTTGAACTCAGCTGTGAATCAAGTGTATCTCATAGATATCTACAGAGCTCTCCACCCCAAAACAACAGACCATATAGTCTCAGTGGCATATGGCACTTACTCTAGAATTGATTACATAATTGGAAGTAAAACACTCCTCAGCAAATGCAAAAGAATTGAAATCATAACAATCTCTCAGACCACAGTACAATCAAATTAGAACCCAAGAAACTCACTCAAAACCATACAACTACATGGAAATTGAATAACCAGCCCCTGAATGACTCTTGGGTAAATAATGAAATTAAAGCAGAAATCAAGAAGTTCTTTGAAACCAGTGAGAACAAAGAGACAATGCCCCAGAATCTCTGGGAGGCAGCTAAAGCAGTAGAGAAGCAAGAGCAAACAAATTTAAAAGCTAGCCGAAGAGAAGAAATAACTAAGATCAGAGTGAAACTGAAGGAGATAGAGACATGAAAAACCATTCAAAAAAATCAATAAATCCAGGAGCTATTTCTTTTTTTTTTTTTTTGAAAAAAAAAAATTAAACTAGATAGACTGCTAGCTATACTAAAAAAGAAGAGAGAAGAAGCAAATAGACACAATGAAAAATGATAAAGGGAATACCACCACTGACCCCACAGAAATATAAACAACTATGAGAGAATACTGTGAACACCTTTACACAAACTAGAAATCTAGAAGAAATGGATAAATTCGTGGACATCCTCACAAGAATAAACTAGGAAGAAGTAGAATTCCTGAATAGACCAATAACAAATTCTAAAACTGAGGCAGCAATAAAGAACCTAATAACCAAAAAAAGCCCATTGGACCATATGGATTTACAACCAGATTCTACCTGAGGTACAAGGAGGAGCTGATAACATTTCTTCTGAAACTATTCCAAAAATTGAAAAGGGGGAACTTCTCCCTAACTCATTTATCAGGCCAGCATCATCTTGATACCAAAACCTGTCAGAGACACAACAGAAAATGAAAACTCAGGCCAATATTTCTGATGAATATCAACACAAAATTTCTCAATAAAATACTGGCAAACAAAATTCAGCAGCACATACAAAAGCTTCTCCACCATAACCAAGTCAGCTTCTCCCCTGGGATGCAAGGCTGCTGTGACATATGCAAATCAATAAACATAATTCACCACATAAACAGAACTAAAGACAAAAGTCACATGATTATCTCAATGTGGAAAAAGGCTTTTCATAAAATTCAACAGCCTTCATGTTAAAAACTCTCCATAAACTAGGTATTGATGGAACATACTTCAAAATAATCAGAGCCATGTATGAAAAACCCACAGCCAATATCATATTGAATGGGCAAAAGCTGGAAGCATTTCTTTTGAGAACTGATATAAGACAAGGATGCCCTCTCTCACTACTCCTATTCAAAATAGTATTGTAAGTTTTGGCCAGGGCAATCAGGCAAGACAAATAAATAAAGTGTGTTCAAATAGGAAGAGAGGAAATCAAATTGTCTCTGTTTGTAGACAATGTGATTCTATATCTAGAAAACCACATCGTCACAGCCCAAAAACTTAAGCTGATAAGTTAAGCAAACTCTGAGAATACACAATCAATGTGGAAAAATCAAAAGCATTCCTATATACCAACAATAGACAATATTCTTCAATTCCTATACGCCAACAATAGACAAGAGAGCCAAATCATGAATGAACTCCCACTCAGAATTGTACAAAGAGAATAAAATATCTAGGAATACAGCTAGTGAGGGGTGTGAAGGACCTCTTCAAGGAGAACTACAAACCACTGCTCAAGGTAATCAGAGAGGACACAAACAAATGGAAAAATATTCCATGCTCATGGATAGGAAGAATCAATCACATAAAAATGGCCATACTTCCCAAAGTAATTTATAGATTCAATGCTATTCCCATTAAACTGACATTGATATTTTTCACAGAATTGGGAAAAAAAGTACTTTAAATTTCATTTGCAACCAAAAAAAAAGCCTGAATAGCCCAGACAATTCTAAGCAAAAAGAACAAAGCTGGAGGGATCATGGTATACAACTTCAAACTATACTACAAGGCTACAGTAACCAAAACAGCATAGTACTGATACCAAAACAGACACATAGACCAAAGGAACAGAATAGAGGTAACAGAAATAAGACCACACATCTACAACCATCTGATCTTTGACAAACCTGACAAAAACAAGCAATGGGAAAAGGATTCCCTATTAATTAATTAATTAATTAATTAATTTTTGAGATGGAGCCTTACTCTGTCCCCAGGCTGGAGTGCAGTGGCACAATCTCTGCTTACTGCAACCTCTGCCTCCCAGATTCGAGTGATTCTCCTGCCTCAGCCACTTGAGTAGCTGGGACTACAGGCAGGCACAACACCCAGCTAATTTTTGTATTTTTAGTAGAGACAGGGTTTCACCATGTTGCCCAAGATGGTCTCGATCTCCTGATGTCATGATTTACCTACCTGGGCCTCCCAAAGTGTTGGGATTACAGGTATGAGCCACCATGCTCAGCTAGGATTTCCTGTTTAAATGGTGCTGGGAAAAGTGACTAACCCTATGCAGAATACTGAAACTGGACCTCATCCTTACACCTTATGCAAAAATTAAGATGGATTAAAAAGTTAAAGCCCCAAACCATTAAAAAAAAAAAAACCCTAGAAGAAAATCTTGGCAATACCATTGAGAACATAGGCATGGGCAAAGATTTTATGATAAAATCATCAAAAGCAATTGCAGCAAAAGCAAATGTTAACAAATGGGATCTAATTAAACTTAAGCACTTCTGCACAGGGAAAGGAACTATCATCACAGCGAACAAGCAACCTACAGAATGGAAGAACATTTTTGGAATCTACCAATCTGACAAAGGTCTAATATCCAGAATCTACAAGGAACTTAAACAAATTTACTAAAAAAGAACAAACAACCCATCATAATATGGGCAAAGGATATGAACAGACACTTCTCAAAAGAAGACATTTATGTGGCCAACAAACATGAAAAAAAAAGCTCAACATCACAGTTTATTAGAGAAATGCAAATCAAAACCACAATGAGATACCATCTCATGCCAGTCAGAATGGCAATTATTAAAAAGTTGAGAAACAACAAATGCTGGCGAGGCTGTGGAGAAACAGGAACGCTTTTACACTGTTGGTGGGAACAAAAATTAGTTCAACCATTGTGGAAGACACTGTGGTGATTCCTGAAGGATCTAGAATCAGAAATGCCATTTGGCCTAGCAATCTCATTACTAGGTTTATACCCAAAGAAAGATAAATCATTCTGTTTTAAAGATACATGCAAATGTATGTTTATTGCAGCACTATTCACAATAGCAAAAACATGGAATCAACCCAAATGCCCATCAATGATAGACTGGATAAAGAAAATATGATACATATACGTCATGGAATACTATGCAACCATAAAAAGGAATGATATCATTCCTTTGCAGGGACATGGATCAAGCTGGAAGCCATCATCTTCAGCAAATTAACACAGGAACAGAAAACCAAACACCACATGTTCTCATAAGTGGGAGCTGAACAGTAAGAACACATGGACACAGGGAGGGGAAGAACACATACTGAAGCCTGTTGGGAAGGCCGGGGGAGAGCATCAAGATAAGTAGCTACTGCATGTGCGGCTTAATACCTAGGTGATGGGTTGATAGGTGCATCAAACCACCATGGCACATGTTTATGTAACAAATCTGCACATCCTGTACATGTATCCAGGAACTTAAAATTGTTTTTAAAAAAGACAAGGGTATTACATAATGGCAAAGTCTTCAATTCAACAAAGACCTAACTATCCTAAATATATTTTCATCCAACACAGGAGCACCCAGATTCATACAAGTTCTTAGAGACCTAAAAAGTATGTTTCACAGTAGTACTGGGAGACTTCCACACTCCAGTGACAGTAGCAGACAAATCATTGAGACAAAAAATTAACAAAGATATTCAGGACATGAACTCGACATTAAATCAAATGGATCTGATCTTTACAGAACTCTTTACTCAAAAACAACAGAATATGCACTCCTCTCATCATCATACGCCACATACTCTAAAATCAACCACATAATTGGACATAAAGCAATCCTCAGCAAGTGCAAAACAACTGAAATCATACCAAACACACACAGGGATCACAGTTCAATAAAAATAGATGTCATGTCTAAGAAAATAGCTGAAAATCATGCAATTACATGGAAATTAAACATGCTCATGAATGACTTTTTTAGTAAATAATGAAATTAAGGCAGAAATCAAGAAGTTCTTTGAAAATAATGAGAACAAACTTACAACATACCAGAATCTCTGGACCTAGCTAAGGCAATGTTAGGAGGGAAATTTATAGCAATAAATTCCACATCAAAAAGGAAAACCTCAAATTAACAACCTAATACCACAACTGGAAAAACTAGAGAAGCAAGATAAGATACTAAAGCTAGAGGAAGACAAGAAATAACCAAAAATTAGAGCTGAACTGAAGGAAATCAAGACATGAAAGAAACATTCAAGAGATCTACGAATTCAGGAGTAGGTTTCTTGAAAATATTAAGAAAGGCTGCTAGCAGACTAATAAAGAGGATGATTCAAATAAACACAATTAGAAATAACAAAGGGAATGTTACCACTGACCCCACAGAAATAGAAACAACCATCAGAAATTACTGCAAACACCTCTATGCACACAAACTAGAAAACTTCAAAGACATAGATAAATTCCTGGACAAAAACACCCTCCTACACTCAATCAGGAAGAAACTGATTTGCTGAACAGACCAATAATAAGTTCTGAAATTTAATCGGTAATAAGTAGCCTACCACCCAAAAAAAGCCAAGGACGTGATGACTTATCAGTCATATTCTACTAGATGTACAAAGAAGAGCTGGTACCATTCTTACAGGAACTATTTGGAAATACTGAGAAGGAGAAACTCCTCCCCAACTCATATGAGGCCAACATTACCTTGATACCAAAATCTGGCAAAGACACACACAGAAAAGAAAACTTCTGGCCAATATCCTCGATGAACATCAGTTCAAAAATCCTCAACAAAAATACTGGCAAACCAAATCCAGCAGCATATCAAAAAGTTAATCCACCATGAGCAGATAGGCTTCATCTCCAGCATCCAATGTTGCCTCAACATACACAAATCAATAAATCTGATTTGTCACATAAACAGAGCTAGAGACAAAAACCACATGATTATTTCAATATATGCAGAAAAGTCAATAAAATTCAATACCTCTTCATATTAAAAACTCTCAAAAATCTGGGAATTGAAGAAACAGCTCAAAATGGTGAGGTGTTTTTGTACCAGTATCATACTGTTTTGGTTACTGTAGCCCTGTAGTATAGTTTGAAGTCGGGTAACGTGATGCCTCCAGCTTTGTTCTTTTTGCTGAGGATTGCTTGGCTATTAGGGCTCTTTTTTGGTTCCATATTAATTTTGAAATAGTTTGCTCTAGTTCTGTGATGAATGCCATTGGTAGTTTAATAGGAATAGCTTGCATCTATAAATCACTTTGGGCAGTATAGCCATTTTAATGATATTCTCTTATCCATGAGCATGAAATGTTTTTGCATTTGTTTGTGTCTTCTCTTATTTCCTTGAGCAGTGTTTTGTAATTCCCCTTGTAGAGATCTTCCATCTCCCTGGTTAGCTGTATTCCTAGGTATTTTATTTTTTCTGTGTGTGGCAATTATGAATGGGATTGTGTTCTTCATTTGATTCTCTGCTTGACTGTTGATAAGAGTGCTAGTAATTTTTGCACACTGATTTTTTTTTTTTTTTTTGAGATGGAGTTTCGCTCGTTACCCAGGCTGGAGT